TCACACAGGCTGCTGTGCTTCTTCCATGTGGGCTTTGTTGCTCCCGAGCTAGATGGCCGCTTGTTTACCTGAAACCACTGTTTTCATGGGACCTTTCTTTTTTTCTCAATCACTCTAATGAGCCTCAGAATCGTGTGTTACTGAATGTGTCTGTAGCCATTTACTGATCAAAGACACGTGTTTGGAATGAACTTGAGCTAAACGTATGAACTGACAGCCTCCTAGCATCCTGATTGACTTGTCCTTGTAGCTGCAACTGATGCTTGTAGAACTGAAAAGAAAACCCATGCCCCAATCTTTAGCCCAGTGGGTTCCTGCCTTGCTAGTTTTTTTGTTGTTTGGGCATGGTATATATTAATTGAAGCACTGACATTTATTCATGTCCATTGGTTGGCTGGTTCTAGAAACATATTGGAGTGTATTTTTCAGACAAGTGTTTAATGGGGGAAAGCGTTGAAAGGAAAAACAATTCCTGCCAGTGCTATCTAATACAGCAGTTCTCAACCTGTGGGTCAAACGACTCTCACAGGGGTCGCCCAATGCCTATAATAGTAGCAAAATGACAGTGATGAAGTAGCAACAAAAATAATGTTATGCTTGGGGTCACCACCACATGGGGAACTGTATGAAAGAGTCGCGGCATGAGGAAGGTTGAGACCACTGATCTAATAGTTTTGTTTTGTTTTTGGCAGATCGTTCGATTAGGCCTCTCTTTCCAGCTGGCTACTTTTATGATACCCAGGTGGGTTCTAATTTAGGTTTATTTGGTACCAACTCAATAAAAAATTGTTGCTCAGTAGTTCTCTGTAAGACACCCAAGCTAAACATAAAGAATACAACGTAAAAATTCTTGATGACACTGTTGCATTTTTTTAAATTAGGTATTGTGAAATATTTATTTCTTGACACTGTTGCATTTTATGTTAAAGCTTGTTAAAGAATGTTGAGGGGATTAAAAAGCTAAAGTTAATTCCGTGTCACTGGAATCTGACCCTAGAATTACGACTAGGCACTAACCCAGCCGAGGAGGGGGACGCGTTCCAGGCCCATGAGATGGCCACGGGAAAGCCTGAGGCCGAGCTGGTGAATGTGAACAGGAGTGTGACCGAGGGGCCACGCCCACTGCACCGTCTAGCTCCTCTTAGCATCAGGGACTGCAACAGGCAGCACAGCTGGTCTTTGTTATTGCTCTTCTACAGCTCAGTCACATCTTTGCAAGGAAGTTAGTTTTCTTCAGGACACAACCTGGGCGCCTTGGTCCAGTATAGAGTGATATACTGTGCGTTTCACTTGTGGTTTTAAACAGGAGACAGCATGATTCTTGCTAATAGAAATAGGTAGCATTTACTGAGTATTTCTACTTGTTCAAAATGCTTAACAAACAGTGTTTTTTATAATCCTTCCAGGAACTGTTTAAGTAAGATGCTATTATTTTTCCCTTTAAAATGTACATACTTCACTCAAGGTCACGCACTTGGTTAGATCCAGTCATGATGGTGGACTTGACTGCAGTGCCCAGGCTTTGGCCATTAGGCACCCGCTGCTCTCCGGTCGGCTTAGCCTTATGGGAACCCCCGGTGGGTCAGAGCAGAACTGCGCACCTGGGCCTTTTCGGGGGATGCCTTTTTTGGAAAGGGATTGCCAGGCCTTTGTTCCAAGGTGCCTTGGACCAGATTCATACATCTAACCTTTCAGTTGGCATCCAAGCCCATTAACCAGTTACACCCCGGGGACTCGTACACCCATGGTTTTATTTTGGTTTTTTTTACACCCATGTTTTAGTACACTGTGATACTTTAAATGTCCTTCGCAACCAATGTAGATAATACTTAAAATGTTTCCAATCTTTTTCCATATACTAGGTCCTTTGTAATCTGTTAGCCGTGGATGGTATTAATGAACCTGATGTCCTAGCAATCAATGGCGGTAAGTATGAAATTTTAGGATAAAGTTAGCATTGTGAATGCAGAAAGCAATGAAATCCTTTTATTTCACCTCTTATTTTTCTTTTTTTAAGCGTCGGTAGCCCTCTCCTTATCAGATATTCCTTGGAATGGACCTATTGGTAAGTTGCAATTTGAGGAAAAAAGACATTCTTTGTGATTTTCATTTTCCAGTGAATATTTGTACCTTGACTCCAATGATCTCTTAGAGGGTTGAACAAGATGGCATTCTAAGACTCTTTTCAGCTCTTTTAGACACTTGGTCTTTGCCTTGGGTTTTATTTCTGATAACAGTATGCTACAATGTTACAGGTCACCAGGTACTTGGACTTCCTAGAAATGTCTTTCTGTTGACAGGACTTATTAACTGGGAAAATGAGTAAACACTCTTCTCAGGATAAAAACCCAGTATGCCGGTAGCTTAAAGTTCATTTAAGTTGTCATCACACAATATAGAAATGATTCCTCTGGTGCGCCCTTGTTGGATGTCCTCAGCACTGGAAGCCACAGCAAGCTGGGCACTGGCTTGTCAAAGAGGAAGGAAGCAGCCTGTGCTTCGGGAGCTCAGGAAGGGAAACGGCGCCTGCTGTAATTAGTCTAGGTGGACTAGAGAAGCAGATCCACACACTGGAGTGTGTGTGTAATTAGTCTAGGTGGACTAGAGAAGCAGACCCATACACTGGAGTGTGTATGAGAAAGAGCTTTCTATAAAACAGCAATGAATATGGAGAAAACATCCCAGCCCAGTCCACATCAAGTCCATAAGTCTGATAACAGCCCAAATGTCTGATACTAGTCTATAAAGTCCTCTGCAGACTCACGAAACGCATGCAGTGACACCCAATGCAGGACGATCACAGGCCAGTGGGTAGAGAGTCTTGTGGATCCAGTGCCGGTGTAAGCATCTCAGCACTGGCAGGGGTCTCCTCGTGGCTCCTCCAGCTCCAGGATACTAGCTTAGCTCCATGTAGTTTGTCAACAGGAATGTCTCCCAGGGAGTGAGTGTGTGTCCTGCCTCCACCAAGCTATTTATCTCCATAGCGCCTCCAAACGAGGTCATCAAGCTGTGACCTGATTGACAGGTTTACTCCACCCCTTCATTCTTAATAGTCTCAAATTGACAACAGCCTATGTAACTACCACACTCACTGTCACTGTTTGGGTCCAGGATTCAGTAGATGAGTCCTGATTAAAAGGAGGGAAAATAGGAAACTGAATCTCAAGTGTCTTATAGAATCCAGGCTTACCAGACCCAGCTAGGCTAGAGCCCAGAAAAAAACTTTCAACCTTAAGGAATCTTGAAATCGCCTTCGAACTAAACAAACAGTTAAGCTGAATTAGTAAAGTATGTTTGCCTTGAATATTGTGCTCTTTTGAAAAATAATCTGTACTGGATCAAATTGACGTCGGGAACTGAAAAGCATAGATGAGTAGCTTCTGGGGAAGGAGCAATAAAGTGGGATTAGTGAATAATATGGGACAAGAAGCGGGAATGGTGCCGCAAATAAGTGTGTCCATTGCCACTGATCTGTATATACAGAAAGCGTCGAATGGTGTGGGTGTACAATCAGCTGTGTATATTTTCAACAACTTCTTTTTTAAAGAGTAAATCAGAGACTCAGACAAATAATTATTTATAAGCAGTGTAATTAGAAGATACAAAGTACTAAGAGAAATGAAAGGAGCAGGTTTAGTTTTGTGAGGCCATCAAGGAGGTGTTTCCAGTAGATGCCGTGAAGTGCACGTCCTTGGAGGAAGCACAGGGCATCATCAGAAGAGCAGCCACAGGAGGTGGAGCGAGCCCAGTGCTCCGCAGAGGCCGGAGGTGAGCCCTCAGAAGCTGCTGGAAGCATGGGCGTTGCTTCCTGGTCGTCATCCGAGACGAGCGACTGAAGCCGTCACTGGAGAAATGTCTTGAAAACGAGTTTTATTAAATAATCGTCAACATTTCCCTCTGCTTTAGGGGCTGTGCGAGTGGGAATAATCGATGGAGAATGTGTTGTCAACCCTACACGGAAAGAAATGTCTTCCAGTGCTCTAAACTTAGTGGTTGCCGGGGCGCCCAGAAGTCAGATTGGTAAGTTGTGTAGGGGCTAGTTGCATTCTGTTCTTTCTATCTGGAATCTACTCAGAAGTTCAGACTTCTTAAAAATGTGTGTGTGTGTGTGTGTGTGTGTGTGTGTGCGCGCGCGCGCGCGCGCTGTCAATAGCCTTAAAGATTTGTGTCTTGTTGTATCATGCTGCTTTTCCACGGTGTACTTTACTTCCTTTACATTATATACTTAGATAACACTTAGTCAAATGGCTTTCCAGCCTTCCAGAAGTTGGAGAGCAAATTTGAGCAAAATACCTTGAGAAAAACTATGGGGGGTAAGGCCAGCCCCCCACAACTAATCATGGGCTCAGTAAGCGCAATTGTATAGTTGAGATACATAAAGATTACAGTAAAGTCAGAGCATGAGAGAGATAGGAGAGGGAGTAAAATAAAGAAGTCTGACACATATCATGGTAGCATGCTCACCTCCTGGATGGCCATAATCTTACCAGCCAGGTCCGCACACAGCGTGGTCCAAGAGCGCAGGGGAGAGAGCTGGGGTCCCCCAGTTTATTGCTGACCAAGGCTTATAACTATTTATGGGCATGATTACAGGTAACCACACACGTCACAGGAAGGGGCTATACAATAGGCAGTACAAGCAATAGGAGGGGGATATACCATGGGCATAAGCGTAACAGGAAGGGGATGTGCTAGGGGTGTACACATGATAGAAAGGGGTGGGACTAGGGGTATACATGCAACAAGAAGGGCAGACCCTAGATTTATGATGGCGGCCTAACTTTGGTCACCCTTGAGTGGGCTTGACCTCCCTGGGCTCTCCTTCAGAGAAACAATCTACTATCCTTATCAGAAGGAAGTGGGCCCTACTTCTTGTGGGATAAACAGTGGTGTCTGCTTGCTCTGGATGGCTGATAACCCTGAGGGAGAACACCCCTGGCCTACTTCTGTTGACCTCCAAGAGTAGTCATTGCCATGTGTAGCAAGCAGCTAAATTAGGATATATTTGGGGGAGACAACATGGGAGAAATCTTTGTTTCCCACAGAAAGCTCACTACAGAGCTTCCCCAGTTAACTTTACACAGGAGTTGAGCTCTGTAAAAGCACAAACAAACCCTGGCTGGCTTATGTGAGAAAGATGCCCTGCAAGGAATCCCCACCGTCGTGCCCGAATTACACAAAATGGCAATGGGTCAGAATTAGTGGGGGTCAAATAAATTATCAACAAAGAAAACATTTGTGAGACCCCTGCTGTGTTGGATATTTCTAAATTTCATTTTAAATACACACAAAGGGGCTTCACAAATTTTGTGGGGAAATCCCACTATCTTTTCATTCAATTTCTTCACAAACGATTTAAAGTCCCCTTGTATTAAAATAAGGTGTAAACCCTTACTTAAATCACAACCAAATATTATCAAATTAATACATGCAATTGTGCACCTTTAAAGGGTGATCTCATGTGAATTATTTCTTTAAAAAGCTGTTATGAAAATATAAGTACATACATAGTTTCATTCATTATTTTATGAGAAATGCCTCGGTAAGTACAAGAGATACAGCTATCAGGACCACCCTCTTCAATGACTGCTATTTGTATTTCGGAAGTTTACTGATTGTGAGGAAAGATCCGAGAGAGTAGAGTGAAGTCACCGTGCTGATGTGTGTGTGTAACGATGTTACACACCGGGGTGTGTAACGACGCTGTGCTGAGAGCGGCTGGGCAGCAGTGACCGTCTGCTCTCCCGTCACAGTCATGCTGGAAGCCTCTGCGGAGAACGTCTTGCAGCAGGACTTTTGCCATGCCGTCAAAGTGGGCTTAAAGCACACGCAGCAGATCATCCAGGGCATACAGCAGTTGGTCAAGGAAGCCGGTGTCACCAAGAGGACACCTCAGAAGCTATTTACTCCGACACCAGAGATTGTGAAGCACATTCAAAAGTAAGAACCTCTCTTTGTACCATAGATTTCTGAAATCGTCACCCTCCTGGGAAAACATGCCCATAGAATCTCTGCCCGGGTGCTGCTTCATAAGTAGCACTTTACTGTTTATGAGTCATTGCCGTAAACACCAGCTCGGCCGCTCACACAAGGATGAACTCCCATGCCTCTTCCAGCCCCTTACCCTAAGATTGACTCTCAAATAACGGAGAGAACACGCTGGTTATTTAAGATTCAGACAAGCCTGTATATGTGTCGTCAGGGAGAAGAAACACAGCATGATACTTGACTGTCCGAGGAGGCTGTTGAACTTCTCAAAAGAAGTCTTACAGGCCCACCAGCCCCTAAATGTCCAGTACTGAAAACACTGCCTGGCACATGGGCAAGCGCTCCATAAGTACACGTGAATCACCAGAACATTCTTTCATATTCTTTGAAATACTGTGAAAAATTCCTATTTGTTCCCTTCATATCAGTCTCTTAAGAAGCCATGGTGGCATAGTGGGTTATGTCGACTGCTAACTGGAAGGTCAGCAGTTCAGAAACACCAGCTGCTCCTCAGGAGACACATGAGGCTTTCTACCCACAAAGGTCTTGGAAACCCACAGGGGCAGCTCTTCCCTGTCCTACAGGATCGCTGTGAATCCGAATCAACTCGATGTCAGGGAGCGCACTTTGGATCAGTCCCCGGGCCAGCAGTCAAAGATTTATTCAAGTTCACACACACCCCTAAAGCTTCCTACAATAACTGAGCAAAAATGGATCGAACTGAGAAAAGCAAGAGATTTAAAAATGTGGGGGAGATGTTTTTTTCATACTTCTAATCTTGTTGGTAGATTTGTTTTAAAGTTTTAAAAATCTGTTTTTTTCTCTGCTTTACAAATGTTTTATTTTCATGTTATAATTAGAATATACAATGTGTCAGTCTATATATCTGGGGGTCTGGGCTTTAAAGATATATCTGCACCTTCTCTAAAAGATAGCCATGCATGTTTTATTACAGAACTTCTTTATTTTCATTTTATTTTGTGTTCTATCTTAGAAGTAAGAATGAGGTTTAGGTTCCTCATGGTTTTGTGTTGCTTTGCTTTTTTTCCCCTCCAAGTGAGTAAGCATTTACGCATAGCACTGGTTACTCAGATGTCGGTCTTCCCATTTACGTGATTAAAATGTGGAAATGGTCTACTTATCCAAGTGGCTGTTGCTTTTGAGGGATATGCTTATTCCTGTAACTATTTGAATTCACTATTCTGTTTATTAAAATTTGTGATCTATATCATATAATATGTAGCAAACAGATTTGCAAATAGAGTATATTTTAATTCTTTATGGAATGTATTAAGTATTTTTTTAATTCCAGTTTTGTTTGCAGCAGGAACTGCTTTATGTTCCCAAACATTGTTCTACTAACATTTATTTTGTGTTTAAAATAGACTTGCCACGGAAAGACTTTATGCTGTTTTTACAGATTATGAACATGATAAAGTAGGTATAACTGGATTTTTGTCTTATACAATTATTCTGAGAATTTGGTTTTGTCATATCTCACCTTATTTTGCTTGTAAACATTCAGCCTGTTTTATGAAACATCTCTAACCAAAACTTATGGGGTAAAAAAAAGAGTTGTCTCCATTCTCCCTATGTTTATTAATAGAAGTTTTAGGGAAATATGTTAATATATCTCAGTGAATTATATGAGCAAAATTGCTACTAAATCAACAACCAGTTCTAATTTTTCAAATACCACCCACATTAGAATATGTGAATGAATGTTGTCATGTCCGTAACAGCTGAACTTGAGCTTTCTTCCAGATTTCCAGGGATGAAGCTGTGAACAAGATAAGGTTAGAGACTGAGGAACAACTAAAAGGTAAAAAAAAAAAAAAGTTTTAAAATTAAAAACATATTTAAAGGAAGTAGAGAGTTTTTATATTGACTCTCAGACCTTGTCAAAACCTCCTTCTTTTCACTGCTACGCTTTCTCCATCTCTCCTGTTTGGTCTTCAGTAAGCTTGCAGTCATGATCTCTAACAGGACTACTGTTAACATATAAGAACATGCCTAGCACTGTACTTGGCCCGCACTGAGCACCAGGCAAATGTTAGTTGAATGTGAAGTACGCAGGAGCGTCTCTGAATCAGACTTTTCTTGGGGCACAGCTTGCAACATGTAAGCCAGCAAGCGCAGCACAACAGACTGGCAGCTGGTGGAGTGCTAAGACACGCCGCTGTGCTCATGCAGACCCTGTACACGGACCAAGAGGCACTTGTTCCAAGAGAACAAGGTGCTAGGCTGCATGGTTCAGCATTGGAAAGGGTGTTATGTGCAGGCAGAGTAAATGCTCGAGATGCTGGGCTAGCTGAAGAACTCAGGAAGACCCCGACAGACTGATGTGCAGATAGCACAAGCTTGCCTGCCATTAATGAAGGTAAGCTGAAGTGTTTACTGGTGAAGATTAAAGAATACAGCATGAGTTACAACTGAACAAAAGGAAATGAAAATTCTCACAACTGACTATGATGTGATACTGGTAAGAAAATTCAACTTGGCAACAATTTCTGTTTGGATCAAAAATCTGCAAGGAGGTAAGAGATTAAAGGATGAACTGCATTGGGTAATTCTGCTGCCAGAACCTTGAAAAAGCAAACCTATCACTTTAATGAGTAAGGTGTAACTGACCATAATCTTTTAGGTCACTGCATGCACACGAAAGCTGGACCCTGTAGGTCAGTGAAAAAGATGTCATACATTGAATATATCATGCACTGACAGATGAACACACAAATCACTCTTAGAAGAAATATAAGCAGGATATTCCTTATAAGAAAGGCTGGGAAGATTTTGTCTTGCTGCTTTGGACTCATTTTTAGGAAAGATCCAATTGCTGAGGAAGGATGTTCTATTTCATTAATAAGGGCTCGGCAAAAGCGAGAGAAACCCAATGAGCTGGACGGACACAATCAAGAGACAGACGGTCAAAAATAAAACCTGGGGGAAAATTCTCATATAGAGGCCAGAGTCACAAATTTATCAACTTTTACAAGTATCACACCAACAACCTAGCAGAGATCAGGAGACAAATGGAGGGACAAAACTAGAGTCTCAATGTCAGAATTAAATAAAACCAAAAAAAAATCTGAACTACTAAGACAAAAGAAGTAGAAAGAGCAAGAGAAATACGCAGCAGCAGATCAGAGACAAGCAGCAGAATGACCGAACCAGAAGACAAAGAGCATCGAGTGTCACGAGAAAAGAACAACGAAAAACCAGCACACCCAAAAGAAAGGGTGACATTTCATCACGGAATCTAACTGATTGGAATCCCAGAGCAGCAGCACAACAGCAAAGGCATAGAAATGATTTTCCCAAAGATAGTCAGCATTGCCTAGTAAATACGGGACGCGACATGACCCTCAATTCAAAGATTCACGGTCAGCACCTAACGAATTCTTGAGAACCAGAGAGGAGGGTGGACTGCTGAAAGCTGCAGGAGAAACAGTCCCACCGATCTCATCCCAGGAGTTGGGTCTTCATCGGCCCCCAGCAGCTCGAGAAGCCAGAAGATAATGGAGTGCTGTGCACTGAAAACGGAATGAAACAACTGCCAACCAGGAATTATTTTTCCAGGAAAGCTGTTATTCAAAAGTGAGGGGAAACTTAGACATTCCCCAGTGTGTTAGTCTGGGTAGACTAGAGAAACAAAATTCATAGACACATATTTTATAAGAGAGTTTTATATAAAGGGTAAGTGTACATTAAGAAAGCATCCCAACCTAGTCGAGTCCAAGCCCATAAGTCCAACATTAGCCCATATGTCCGACACCAATCTCCAAAGTCCTCGATCTCACCAAACATACGCAGTGACGCCGGCGGCAGGAGGAAAGCTGAATCAGTGAGC